TCCGCCTCCTCCACTCATTCACTCAACAAACGTGCAGTGGAGTCGACCGCCAAGCACGGGGTATCTGAAATCGGAGGGTACGGGGTGGCTAAAACACACAGCCCTGCCTTTGAAGGAGACAGTTACGGAAATATTATAGTCGTATCACAAATCGTCATGAAGTTACAAGAAAAACTCACCAGTGATGTGATAGTACTATAATTAAGCCCCAGCCCCCTAGTGCCACAGAGGATCTGTGGCGTCCCTTAGTTTGATCTTTTGGCACCTCATATCACAAAGGCGCTATTTCACTTCCAGTCTTACTTAGCAGGGGAGGTGCTGCATGGGGCCGGCGTGTGGACGGAGCCCCGTTTGAGCCCTGGTCAGTCTGTCTCACAAGCAGATCCTTAGCTCCATTCATCCCATCGCCTTTCTGGCAAAAGCCTAGATCGATCTTCCTGGAGCAGGGCCGCGGGTGCTGCCCAGGAGCCTTGAATGACTTAGTTTGGCATGCAAGGCCATCTCTCTGGCTGACCTCTCCCTCTCCCTTTCTGTCCTTTCCCTGCTGCTTTCCAACCAGAGCTGGCGTTCTCACGCTGTGGCACAATTCTGCCTCTTCAGTTCCCTTTGGTCCTGGGGAATTGAACACAGGGCCTTTGGATACATAGTGAGTTTAAGGGCAGCCGGAGCTACGTAGTGAGACTGTCTCAAAAAACCAAGTGAGGGGCCGGGGATTTAACTCAGTGGTGTTGCGCCTGCCCGGCAAGCGCACGGTCCTGAGTCCATCCCTGGTACCGCAAAACAAACCAAAATGACCGAGTGAAACAAGAGAGCCAGAACAGTTCCTTGATGTCCCCGTGTGCTGGGACCCTGCCCCCGACCGAGCCGCGCTGTCCTCTGCCCCGCAGCATGGGAATCATTGTTCTGGAGCTGTATTGGAAGCACGCGCCAAAGACCTGTAAGAACTTCGCAGAGTTGGCCCGGCGCGGTTACTACAACGGCACCAAGTTCCACAGGATCATCAAGGACTTCATGATCCAGGGAGGCGACCCCACAGGCACAGGTGTGTTCCCCCGGCGTCGGTCTGATATGTCTCCCGTCTGGGTGACACGGTGGCCAGAGCCACGAGGCTGGGGACATTTTCCTTCCTGCCCAAACCCGCGCTTGGACCCGACCAGAAAGGAATCCAGCTCCCAGGCTTGCTAGTTTTCCTAACTTTTGGGTGTGGTTCACCGAGAGCAGATTTGCCAGCATTGTGCTGATGCATAGAGTAAGTGACCAGAAGCACCAAAAATAAATAAATAAATAAATAAATCCCCATGTTTTGAGAGGAATAAAATATCTGGTCCCTTCAGTATCTTATGAATACTGAAGTTGGGCATGTGGCGCACATCTGTAATCCCAGAACTCTGGGAGGCTGAGGCAGGGGGGTCTTAATGGAACTTAATGACTTAGCGGAAATAAAAATTACAAAAGGAGGACTCAGGATGTAGCTCTGTGTGAATCCCTGGGTTCCATCTTCAGTCTCACCGCCAAAAACAAACCACACCGAAAACCAAGTGCAGACGCTGTGTACCTGCTTTCTGTCAGGTGCGTTCTGAGCTCTGGGGATGTAGGTGCGAGCAGAAAGTGAGTGGGAAGGCTGTGGGATACAATTCAGTGGGACAATCAGAGGCATCCTCTAAGGTGTCGCTGAGTTCCGGCCGCAGAGGGGAACCTCGGGACTAGGGACGCTGAGGGAGGGGCCAGCAGACCGACCATGGTGGAGACTTTGAGTTTATTCCGAGTAAAATGGGGCCATTGTTGAGTTCCTAGTAAAGGAGGGGCCCGATCTGCCCGCCACTGCCCAAAGATCCCTCTGGCTGCTTCTTGGAGAATAAACAGCTGGGCCTGCGTGGGTCCCGGGATTGGCCGGAAACCCTCTGCAGTCTGGCGACGGTGCGGTTTGACCGGCTGAGGTCATCAGAAGGTGCTGAGGAGCAAAGATTCCAGCCATGCCGCCAAAGTGGGGCGGGGGTGGGGGCTGCCTGGGATTGGAGGGTGGAGGAGGGCGTGGCCCCCGGTGACCCTGAGTTTTGAGTTTCCCAGCAGCCCGGGAGATGGAGAGGCCAAGCGCAGGGTGTGGAGGGAGGAGAGCGGTTCCGTTCGCCCTGGCCCCGTCACATCTGAAACTCCCGCCCAGGAAGATGCTGAGGAGCAGCCGGGTGTGACGGCAGAGCTGGGAATCTTCCAGCCACCGCACGGGGGCGCTGCACAGGGGGCGCCTCGTTAGGGAAACAGCTGGACGCTTGTTCAAGAGCCCTTGCTCCTCAGTTTGCTTTTCCTGCGCGAATCCCTGCTGCTCTTTTACTTTTAAACAAGTGTGGTTGTCTCTTTCTCGGAATCATCTTGCTTTTTTTGGTGTGTGGGGTTGTTCTTAGGTTTTGGATTTTGTTTTTTTGTTATGTTTTTGTGGTACTGAGAGTTCAACCCGGAGCTTGAACCCAGGGCCTTCACACTCGGCTCCATTTCCAAGCCTTTTTTATTTAATGGAGACAGGGTCTTGTTAAGTCATTTCAGTTGCCCAGGCTGTCTTAACATTGTGATCTTCCTGCCTCAGCCTTCCAGCGTGCTGGGAGTAGGAGCATGTGGCGCTCCCCGCATCTGGCTGCTCAGGTGTCCTTTGTGGCCAGCAGCGTTAGTTTCTCTAATGTGTAAGGACACGTTTCAGAATAGACGATATGCAAAAAAAGCTTTCTGACCACAGTGGCTTTCCCTAAACCTCCTCCAGCTCCGAGACGGCAGCGTTCGTGGCCTCTTTGTTTCCTGAGACCTGGGTTAGCAGATGCGTGGATAACAGGCTAAAGCGAGTAATCACGAGAGAAGGGTGTGTTGTGGATATTACTGCCATCAGATAGAGTCATACTTAACGGAAAAGCTATCTGCCGTGGAAGATGACGCAACTAGCCCTTTTCTACCCATTCTCACCCACCCTAATTTAGGGTTTTTTAATGGTGCTGGGGATCAAACTCAGGTCCTCACACAGGCTAGAGAGGTGCTTTACCACTGAGCCCTACCTCTGACCCTAATTCTTGTTGTTCGTTTTACTGTTTTTTCGATTTTGTTTGTTTGTGGTGGTAGGGATTGAATCCAGAGCCTTGTACTGAGCCCCAGCCCGGGCCATTTTGGATTTCGTTATTTTGTGACAGGGTCTCCTTACGGAGACCTGTCCTTGATGTGCAGCCCTCCCGCCTCAGCCTCCCAGGGTTGCAGGCATGTGCCATCACCCCGGGCAGTTCCACTGTTTTCTGCTGCCTAACTCAGCCTCAGTGTGAGTCCTGCATTGCAGTGGATTCGCACTCACCCAGGTTTGTCCTTAAACCCTGGCGGCCGGGGTCCCTTTGGGGCTGTATTTGTGAACTGGCTCTGGTTGGGGGTTCGGGGTTCGCCTGACACCCCCGCTGGAGGTGGTGTCGAGCTTGAGCCTCCGCATTCCCTCCGGTCTGTTAGACAACTCTGACCCCCCGACCCCTCTCGTGGTTTTAGCACGGTTTTGGGAAATATTGTGGCCAGATCTGATGTTTCCTTCAATTCGGGGAACTTTAAAAAGCTGTTGTTTCTGAAGACTTTCTCTGGTGATACTCACTAGATTTTCTATTTCAGGAAACTCATTTTCCTTTGTTTCTTCACCTTTGCCTTCCATATTGATCTCATTTCTTCAGACTGGGGCAAGATGAGGTTTTTTTCCCCATTTTTTTTCCTGCCTTCGCTGAAACAATCTCAGCCCTTCCGTCTGCCTTATTCAGTTTTCTGCTGTGTCTGTTCTGCTCTTTATTGCTCTGATTTATTTATTAGCTCTGTACTGGTGCCATGTGGGTCTCAGTTTGTGTCCTTAGCTCTGCAATCTTTTCACCTTATTCTCTGATTTATTATCTTGCCTTTGAGCTTTTGTTTTATTAGTTTCTCGCCTCTGCCGAATCATCTGTATCTTGGGACCTCACGAAGCCACTTTTCAGGTTAGATTTTCTCTTGTACTGAGTCCTTGAGGTGCGTTTTCTCCCTCCCCTGCTCTCTGTCAGGCACAGTGTCGTGGCTTCTTCTTGTCACCTACCCCACCTCTGTGGGGCCAGTTCTCTCCCCACGCACAGGCTAGGTTGCTTTCTCTCCATTTTACCCCGGCCTGAAGAGGAGGAAGTTGGGGTTCCCCCCGGGAGGACCAGCCTCTGCCTGTCTGTCCGGGGCCCCTAACCTGGGTCCCAAGACCCCCCACCAGCCAGGGCCGACCCTCTGCCCCGACTCTGGGCTTCATCCCCCAGGCGCAGTTTTTGTCTGTTGTTTTCGTTCACTTCACTGGGAATCCAAGGGAGGCGGCGTCTAATCCTGCACCCATGCGCTCTGTCTGAAGTTCTGCCAGGTCTCCGCGTGCTCCTTTCCTGTCTTCCTGTCTCCCTCTCACTGCTGGAGTGCGGGACATGGCCCTTCAGGACTCCGGGGAACCAGAACCGGAAGTGACTGGGTGTGAGTTGCTCATCCAGAGTGGCCCTGTGTCTGTAGTTCTTTTGCCGCCCTTCCTGAAGTCACGTTTCCGCGTTACATTTGGGCTGGAACTGAGTCACCCAGAAGGTTCCCAGATAATTGTGTCCAGCCTCGAGAACAGAGAACGTCCGAGTGGACATCTCAGGCGGGCAGCATGTGGCATCCCAGGCTCTTGGGGGAGCGGACGCCACATTTCCAGTCCCCACTGTGGCTGTGGCCCTGGCTGTGGGCGGCTGCTGCTGCTGCTGTTTCTGACGTGGCCTTGCTTTCAGAGAAGGAGACGGTCAAGGGCTGTGGTGCGCTCGCCTCTTTCTAGGAGAGCCGTAGCTCCTCAGAAGCCTCCTCAGCAGACTTCTCTTTACACCCTAAAGTCAGAACTGGGCACCCGGACAGAGCCCTCTGCGGGTCGGTCCCAGTTGTCATCGGTGGGGACGGGCAGCTCCAAGTGTGGCAGTCCCGTAGGGCCGAGTCGGAAACGTCAGTCCAGTTCATCTTTGGGAGATTTCTAGACAGCGGAGGGGTCTTGAGGGTAAGAAATAGGTTTTCATGTTTAAGAAATAACAGATTGACGGCAGACATTTCTGTGCACTAGAAGAGCCTCTTAAACGAGTAAAAGAAGTCACCCAGCACAGCATCTACAGAGCAGTAAGCGACAAAGGACCGAGTCTCACCACTCTAGGAAAGCAGCTCTGCACAGAGGCCCCAGGCTAAGGGTGTAAACCCAGAGTGCTGCCCACATCAGGGCGAGCGGAGCAGAGCAGAACCGTGTGGAAGCCACTGACAGGAGGACGGAGGTGACGGTCGTGGCCCCTGAGCCAGCGGAAGGCGGCAGCACGCCGGCCAGCACTCGGGTTCCCGTCAGAGGGGACCCCGCACGGGGCTGTCCCCAGAGCCCGTGGGAACCGAGGAGCCCATGCGGAGCTGCAGGGAGCCGGGCCCCCTTTCTGCAAACAGCGGGACTTCCTGGCGCACACTGAGGGACGCATCAGCGAAAAGGGGCATCCTGGCCGGAGCTGGGGTCACCTCCGAGGGAGACGCGATTCCCTGGCGGGCCTCACTGTCTGTCTGGACTCTGTATGCGCCTGTGTGTTGGAGCTTTCGGAGTGGGTGGAAGGGACGGAGACCCCAGAAGCCCAGCGCTTAGGCGGCTGCGCCCTCCCCCCACTGCCCATGTCCTGGACCAGCACCCACCAGCTTTCTGACAGCCTTGGTGTCTGCAGCCCACCCTGCACTGAGGAAAACGGATTCCTCCCCTGGATGGGGCGCTGCACATCCGGCCGCTGGAACAGGACGCGGCTGCAGTGGGCAGGGCCGAAGCTGGTGACAAAGGCCTGTGCTTTCCCTTGCCTCCGAGCTCTCACAGTCCTCCCCGCACCCTCGTCTGCCCGGCCCCTGTGGGGTGGCTCTGGCTTCCCAGAGGCAGAGGCCTGGGCTTTCCGCAGCCCCTCGCTCTCCTGTCTTCAGCCCGGGCCGCCGGACACCAGGC